AATCTCCATACCCTGGTGAACCTCAGCAGCAACTGTGGCTCAGCTCTTAGTTTTATATTTTGGAGAATACCAGTCTTGGGATCAAAGGTATTTAGAACTACCTTTATTTCTCCACCCACAGCAAAATGATTGAGCACTACCTTTATTTTAGTTTATTTAGAATTATCTGCATTCCCTTCCCCCCTCGCCACACAGACAGCAGTACAGACCTGTGTGTTTAAAAAGGGCTCTAGAGGTGATCCTGGCAATTACAGACCAGTAAGTCTAACATCAGTACTGGGCAAATTAGTCAAAACAATAGTTAAGAATAAAATTGTTACACATGTAGAAGAACATAATTTGTTGGGCAAAAGTCAACATGGTTTCTGTAAAGGGAAATCATGTCTTACTAATCTATTAGAGTTCTTTGAAGGGGTTAATAAACATGCAGGCAAGGGGGATCCAGTAGATATAGTATACTTAGATTTTCAGAAAGCCTTTGACAAAGTCCTTCACCAAAGGCTATTGTGTAAATTTCATTGTCATGGGATAAGAAGAAAGGTCCTTTCATGGATTGAGAACTGGTTAAAAGACAGGAAACAAAGGGTAGGAATAAATGGTAAATTTTCAGAATGGAGAGGGGTAACTAGTGGTGTCCTCCAAGGGTCAGTTCTGGGACCAATCCTTTTCAACTTATTCATAAATGATCTAGAGAAAGGGGCAAGCAGTGAGGTAGTAAAGTTTGCGGGTGATACTAAACTGTTCAAGATAGTCAAGAGAGAAGCAGAATGTAAAGAACTTCAAAAAGATCTCACCAAACTGAGTGACTGGGCAACAAAATGGCAAATGAAGTTTAATGTGGATAAGTGTAAAGTAATGCACGTTGGAAAAAATAACCCCAACTGTACATATAGTATGATGGGGGCTAATTAGTCTATGACAAACCAGGAAAGAGATCTTGGAGTTATTGTGGATAGTTCTCTGAAAACATCCACACAGTGTGCTGCAGCAGTCAAAAAGGCAAACTGAATGTTAGGAATTATTAAGAAAGGGTTAGAAAATAAGACACAGACTATCTTACTGCCCCTGTATAAAACTATGGTACGCCTACATCTTCAATACTGTGTACAGATGTGGTCCCCTCACCTCAAAAGAGACATTTTGGCCTTGGAAAGGGTTCAGAAAAGGGCAACTAAAATGATCAAGGGTTTGGAACAGGTCCCATACGAAGAGAGGCTAAAGTGACTGGGACTTTTCAGTTTGGAAAAGAGGAGACTGAGGGGGGATATGATAGAGGTATATAAACTCATGAGTGGTGTGGAGAATAAAGAAAAGTTATTTATTAGTTCCCTAAATAGAAGAACTAGAGGACACCAAATGAAATTAATGGGTAGCAGGTTTAAAACTAATAAGCGAAAGTTCTTCACACAGCGTATAGTCAACCTGTAGAACTTCTTGCCAGAGGAGGCTGTGAAGGCTAGAACTGTAACAGAGTTTAAAGAGAAGCTAGATAAATTCATGGAGGTTAGGTCCATAAAAGGCTATTAGCCAGGGAGTAGGAATGGTGTCCCTGGCCTCTGTTTGTCAGAGGATAGAGATGGATGGCAGGAGACAAATCGCTTGATCTTTGTCTTTGGTCCACCCCCTCTGGGGCACTTGGTGCTGGCCACTGTCAGCAGACAGGCCACTGGCTAGATGGACCTTTGGTCTGACCCAGTATGGCCATTCTTATGTTCTTATGAGCACATCTTGACTGAAGATGAGGATCCAGCCCTAGCTATTTGCAGATCTTTTCCCAATTCTCTATTATTTTTATGATGTAATGATGTTAAAACTTTGGTCTTTGCAGAGCTATCTGGTGCCATCTCTGATACGAAAACAAACTTTCACTTGCCACCTTCTAGTGTTTTCAAGGGCTGAGCAAACAGTCCTTATGGAAGTGTAGCCATAAAGGACCTTGAGGTCCATAACCCCTTCTGAGTTATTGTCAAGTTATGTTTAGTTAGCTATGCTTTTCAATCTGTGAAATTCCAAGCATCCTCCATTTTAAAAAAGACTTCAAATTCTTATTCTAAATTTGGAATTTAAAGCACACCATTTTATACCTCCACAGCTTCTCTCTCTTACAAAGAAATTACAATTTAATTTTTCTATAGCCAAACACACACAAAGTCTAGGAAAAGATCAATACTATTGCGGAATCAAAACTGACAAGTAAAGTACATGCAGACTTTTAGCCCTGTTCAGGGCTGGAGGAGGGGGTGCTGAAGTCACTGAAGATAGGAACTGCAAGACTCTGGGCAGAATGATGGAAGATGGGGAGTGGCAGCAAGAGTGGCACTGCTCCGGCAACAACTCCTCTCAGGGGGCCGGGACAGCTCTCTCTTGCCAGTGGCCCCTTACTAATTGCCCTCCTCCATGGCCTGCAGGTTGTCTGGGGGGACTGGGCTCTGGAGGCTACCACCTCCTCCAATGCGCTCCCACATGGCCTGCAGGCTTTCTGGAGGGCCTGCTCCTCCCTGCAGCTGGCCCCTGCAAGCTGTCTCGGGGAGGCCTGGCTCCAGGGGCTTCCCCACTTCAAGCAGCTCCCTCCACAGCCTGCAGGCTGTCAGGGAGGGGCCAGGCTCTGGGGCTATCCCCCCTCCATCAGCATCCTCCC